GACATTTTCTTTTCTCTGTATACAGTTTCTTCCTGTGTGTGTGTGTGTTTGTGCGTGTGTGAGTGAGTGTGTGTGTGTGTGTGTGTGTGTGTGTTTAGCAGGTGCATTTGTCTTGTGTTTTGTTTTGGTCTCTTATCTTTCATGTTAAATTATTTTCTGCAATATCAGGTGATCTTTTATAGTCCTCTTATATTTAACAGTGGTCTACAAATTAATGATTTCTCTAAGTAAATGTCTGTGGCTTGCCCTCCAGGGACTTTACTGTAAGGTTATCTAGCTGGACCATTTCTTGGGAAATCCTCATGTTGGTGCATTTAGATGTTTTCTCAGTCTTGATGGACTCTATAATTTAGAGGAATATTTTACATGAGATTCAGAAGGTGGAAGTGACACATCACAAACATTCATGTTACACTTACAATGTTACTGTAGGGAATGAGGTGCTATTGTATATTACACATGTTGTCACTTATCTCCTGAGTTGTTAATGTGGGGCAGCCATGCCAAGCCAGCTGCTACTACAGATGGGCCATGTGTTCCTTTAAATTTCCTAACTTCTGGCCTGATGTGTGTTTAGATATCTTATGATCACCCCATCAGTATAGTTGAATGTCCGGCTGTGGTTAAGAGTCAAGATGCTTCTCCAATCAGTCGATGACCAAGCCATTAAAAGAATTATATCATTTATTATAATTTATGTGAAACTTTGGAAGGAAGTGAAAGTAAATATGTATGTTCAATCCAGCAACTCTTCCAGGAAGTACAAGCATGCTACTTGTTTATCGAGCTGTCCTTGCTACACTGATTGCCTAATATACTGCCTAACGAGTGCTGTATACACATTTATTGAGAATCGACTAATTTTTCAGTAACTGTAGACTAGGGTCTCATAAAACTAAACAAAAAAGACATGGTTCTAGGTCTCAGGTAATTTGAGGTCTTAAACTTACCAAAATTAACCCCAATACAAATATAAAAAAATTTAAAGACCATTTCCTATAAGGGAAATGAAATAATATCTAAAGTGTTCCCCTAGAACAAGACAGCAGTATCATATGGTTTCTCAAGAAAATCTTTTAAAAGGTAGATAATTATAATGTTACTTGTACTCTTCCAAAGCTGAGAAAAAGAAATCTTTTATATTTGTTATATGAAATGAGTATAAAGTTCATCTCTAAACCTAACAAAGATCACACTAAAAAAGAAAACTAGAGACTCACTTATTAATATCAATAAAAAAATTACATAAAATGTCAGCAAATAGGACCCAATCACATATTTTAAAAGGACATACTGACCAAGTGGGGGCTTAATCCCAAAATTCAAGAGCGGTACAATATTAGGAAATTTATTGGCATTATGTATATATGAATATACATCATCATAATAAAAGGGCCAAGGAGAAAAAAATTAAGTGATCATCTCCACTCATTTAAAAAGACATTATATATCTTATAGAAGTTCTAGGTTGTCATTGGAGGCCACTATCAGAGAACAATCACATTTCCTTTTAAGAAGTAGATAAGAGCACAAAGGAAAAATGAAAGAAGTTCTATCAGTGACAAGATTTGCCTCCATTAAAAACAGCAACTAGTGAATGCTAGTGCTACATTTGAAGGTTTGATATTATGGGTATCAAACAAAGATCATGCTCACCAATGAAAAGGACATTGATGAACGTATTAAACTCTTTAGAAAGATTTTTACATTAATATGAGTAGATGTATAATGTAGCTGAACAGAATAGTTTGATCAGTGTTTTCATATTTGAGGAAAATAGTCTGAATCTAATCCTGGCATCTAATTTATTGCCTAAGGTACAATTTGAAATGTCTTTGTGAAGCCCACTCTTATTAAAGATAATGATAGTATTTAGACAGCAAAATACTTCTATTTAGACTACACCTTTTCAAGCACCAAGGTCAGAGCTACAGTTTTTCTGCCCCACCATTTATATTCCTATTGTAATACTATAGAAATAGACATAAACCTTGTAAGGCAAGTAAATATTTTAAGGCTTTAAAAATGTTTCGGTCTTATTTCCCTCCTTGCTCCTTATGTCCCCTGAAATCTAGTATTTAGCACACAATTGCATATTTAGTTATAAATCTACATACATAGCCTACAGAAATAAATAAGATCAAATTAATCCTATTAAACAAATGCCTGTGAAGCATTTTGCATTTAACATCTATTTATTTAATTAAGTTTAT